AAATGCTGATGATGGACTTCACTACAGCCAGGAGATGTGCAGAACAACCAGGAGGACGAGTTACACCACTCCAGTCTACCTGTATTCAGAATCAAAGCCCTCTTGACTCTCCAGACTAACCTCCAAACTTCTGTATTCCTTTCACTTCCAGAGCCAACTATGTACATTTTCTGCCTCAACTACTCAAAAGAGATCCTTTATGCCACTAGCCAACAGACTTCCCTCCAAAAAAGGAGAGTGGGGGTACGTAAGGAGCACCTTTTCTATCTATCTCAGTGGGACCTGCTTTGGTGACTGTCTCTGGCATTACTCACTCACTCACTCACTCACTCACTCACTCACTTATTTACCTACTTACTTACTTACCTACTTACTTATTTGAATTTATATCCCGCACCATCTGGCAACCAGGCCACTCTGGGTGGCTAACAACAATATAAGGAATAATATTAAAAAGATGAAAAAATAAATTAATATATAACAAATAGGGAAATTAAAACAGATGGCAATAAAGGTGGCAGAAACAGTGATGGAGAGGATGGCAAAAAGCATGGTAAAAAGGGAGGGTGAAATCCTAGAGCTCCAGGAAAGCCTGGCAGAAGAACCAGGTCTTCAATGCTCTTTTGAACCCATCCAGCAAGGGTGCCAGGCGGATCTCAATAGGAAGGTTGTTCCATAGGTGGGGGGCAACCACCAAGAAGGCTCAGTTTCTTGTTCTTTCCCTCTGGGCCTCCTTCAGGGTCAAGGCCCTCAACCGCCCTGCCTGTGAAGAACAGGTATCATGGACAGATCTGGCTTAGAGCAGGCATTCTCATAGGTACCTAGATCCTAAACTTTCCTGCCTGCACCACAATCACTACGGACCACTGGGTCCTCTGCCTCGTTTCATACATCATCCACTTCATCTCTGTCGCACTCACCACACCATTCCTCTCTCGTCCATCTTGCACATGGAGATCCTTCAGCTCTGTCCAAAAGAGCCCTGGAACCCATGTCGTACCAATCTGTATCCAAGAGTTTCGTCTCCTGCTCCTTCATTGCCCCCGTGTGAGATGGAGATCTCCAACCCATTATTAACTTCCACACACTCAACAGCATCATCATTACTCACAGTTCTGAAAGGTAATGCTGGCAGCAATCCACTATGGGGGCTAGTTTGCTACAAGGGATCTCCAGGATGCTTATTTCCACATTTCCATCCATCCGAACCACTGGCACTTCCTCCACTTTACCCTGAGCCCCTCCATCTACCAGTTCTATGGCCTTCTGTCCAACCTTGCCACTGTCCCCAGGATATTCACCAAATACACGGCAGCAGTGGCTGCTTATAAAATATTACTGTCTCCCCACCAGGTGCCTCAAGTTCAGTGGTGCTACACTGGACTCCCTGATTACTTTATCTATTTCAAGCTGGTCTAGGCTGCACTCCACATCTTATCCTCTCATCAGTCTCCTGGAACATACCCACTCTCTTTTGCAGCCCTGCTGGGTGGGGCTTCGCCTCTCTCCTGCACTGCTTCACCCCTGCATGCATGTGCAACTCTGTCCCCCTGCACCCTCGGTTCCGTTGTGACCAGAACCTAACGCGATTGCTGCATGGGGAAGGAAGAGAGCTGCGCAGAGGGAAGCAGAGTTGTGTGCATGCGTGCACGCACCTAGCTTAGTGGGAACCTTGGTCTCCTGTCAATCTCATCCAACATCTCTTAGGACTCATAACAACCACTATAAATTTACTGACTTACATGAGTTTGTATATGAGGCTGCTCCAACACTGTCTCCTTGCTCATTCAACCCTCTCACAGATGATCCCAGCAGGCCTTATTGCTCTGTTTGTTACAGACATGTAACAAACATAGCAATAAGGTTCTGTGCAATAAGGTTCTATGATGGGTTCTGTCTACTTTACCAGTAGACAGAACCCATCATATCCTAACTGGGATGCACAAACCCTACTCACAATAGATGCTGTGGCGATCCCCTCTGAAGCCCCTATTCCCTCAGGTCTTCATGAGGTTCTCGCTCTTCTTTCTTCGCTGCCACCAGGTATTGCTGCTTGAATACCATTTAATCAAGGAGACAAGTGTGCTTTTAAAACTTAACTCATTTATTAGATCAGGGAAGCTAACATCTGATTAATATTCGATAAGTAAATCACAGGCTGCTAATCACTTGTATTTGTATCAGTTCTACTTTAACTTTAAAGCTCTATCAACTCTCTGTTCCATTCAGTGTTCTTACAGGCCTCTAACTCACTCTAAGTTCACTTTTAAGTTTCACACTGTCTCTCACTCACAGAATCTCTCTTCATACTCCATACACCAGCCTTTATACCCAGCCCCTCCCCCCTTGGCTCCACCTTCCATCCTCTCATTGGCTCGTACTCCACTGTTCCGCTGTGAGAGACAGGTGAGGGCAGGGCTGTTCGCTACAGATGTCTCCCTCTTGGAGTGGGGAATTAACCTCTCTAACCAGTGAAACACGGGTTTCACATCCATACCCTTGAGGTGCAGGTAGTGTGGAAAGCTTTTCAGGCCTTCAAACAAATGATCCATGGTCACGATCCAGATCCTCACAAACAATACAACTGTTATGCTAAATCTCAAAAAGCAGGTTGGTGTTCACTGCTCAACTTTATCCTGACAATATGGCATTGGTGCATTTTAAGATCCATCTGCCTTTAGTTGATCTACCTCCCTGATGATCGCAACAAGACAGCTAAGTCAAGCCAATACACTACAATATCCCATGAGTGCCAACTGTGCCCCAAGTTGCTTGTCAGTTATTTTATCATCGGGGACATCTCCTCACTGATCTGTTCACCACCCTAACCGCCACCCAGTGTCCCTAAGGAACACATTTATATACATTAGTCAGGTCCCACTTCTCTGTCTGTGCAACTATATCCCCGATCACCAGGATAATCATTAGGCTTCAAGATGGCCACACACATTGCTTCCTCATGATCCTGTGGTGGCCTCATCCGCCCTCTCTGATCACCGCTATCATTTCCTTTCCACAATACAGGACCTCCTGACACAGGAGATGTGTTTGTTATCCAGATTTATGGGCCGTCTGTCTCACACCCTAGTATACTGCTTCCCCACACCCTTCCCACCTGAAGTTGTTCTTGTCCTCTTTTCCCATCAGCTATCCACATGGTGGTTGTACTGTACTAAGTGGTAGAATGTCCTCATTCAGTGAACCAAACCTCTACAATCAATAATGTTATCATGCCTGGCCCATTAAAGCTCCAAAGATCTCTCCTTGGCATCCCTTTAAGTCCATCTGGTGGATGTATCTGTCTTATTTCCTCAACCCTCTGGAGATTCCAAGTTTCTCCCCACACAGGTCAGGACCTTCTTCCCCTCTCCCCATAATATCTCCCCAATGAAACCTCCACCGTCTCCTCTTTAGGCTGTTTAAACTTGTGGCAATGTGTAGCTTCCACCTTCTTTCTCTCAAAGTAGACTTCCTGGGGTTAGTCACCTCCGCCACAGGCCCAGAGAACAGACTGCCTTGTGTGGCAATCCATCTTTTCTGGAATTCCATAAGGACAAGGTCACCTTCCAACCTTTCTTACCAAAGCAGTCTCCTAGTTTATTTATATTTATTTATTTGAAATAATTTTACCCCACCTTTCTTCTTAAAAAGAACCCAAGGCAGCTAAAGAAATCCTCTAAGAAACTCTGCTCCATTGTCAGACCACTGGACTTCTATATCCAAAGTATCTGCCTTTTCCTCTAGACCACCCACCTTTTCTTGGCCTATAGTAGATGAAGAAAGGGCCTTCCCAGTTTTGTCCAATTACTTTTCAAATGTGATGTAGCCACCATTTGTCTGACATGCAGTATTGCTACTGATATTTAATAGTAAATTCAAGAGTCTGGACAAAAGTATTGTTATGTCTTATGCATGGTGTTGCTTTTCAAGACTTCTCAGTTAGTTTAAAAGCCACCTTTCTAATTGGGACCAGATCAATGGAACACAGTGTGCCAATCCTTCTAAGCTGAGCTGGCTGCCAGCCTAGTTGTAAGCACAGTTCACAGCTCTAGTGCCAAACATATTCTTTAAAAAATTAGATACAGTTTATTAGTTCAACCCTACACCCTCCAGAAGTAAATACTCAAAGTTTCTTCTTTGTGGTCTCTGCAAATGTGCATTAATGTGTTTTCCTGGCCTTTTGAAGAACCTTTCAGGACCATTTTCAGTGAGATCCCAAACAGATGATTTTAGGGCATCCACTTCTACTTCTATGTCTTTTTTTCTGAAACAGACAGAATACTTTAACATTAAAGATAAATGTGTAATAGCCAGCTGTTCAATTTGAGGGGAAGAGAAAACTACAAATCCCATCTTCCCTGGCAGAAATGATGCTCATAAGGGCTATAATTTCCAGTTTAAGAGATACCCCTGAGGCTAAAGTACTGTACTGTTATTTCTACTGATCCCTCCCACCCCAGGATGTGTCCAAATTTGGTTGAAATTGGAAGTGGGGAATCTCTATATTCTCCAGCATGGAACTACTCTACATTCTCCTGCAGAGCTATATGTGCTGCTTGAACTCTTGTATCGCAAGATGAGGGCAGTTTTCCTTTTGCAATGGGAGGGGGAGGGGAGGACTGCAGGATGAGAGAGAGAGAGAGAGAGAGAGAAAGAGAGAGAAGTGGAGGGGAAGAAGGCAGGCAAAGAGGGAGCTGTGACTCATCCAGCAGCATTTTTCACTCATCACAGATGAGTGGACGAGAGCATTTTTCAAGCCCTGAATATATGTTTTAAGTTTTTGGTTGTGAATTGCTAATCCTGATGATGTTATTATACAGTTGGATGTCAAAAGAAGTAGAATAAGCATTATGAAAAGGCTGAAATGTGCAGAGTGTTTTACCAGTGTTTTACACAAATTTCGATTCTGCTTTGTTTCAAGTATTTTGTTGCTTTTACTTTCAACACACAAGGGTTTGTTTGCTCTCGGTTCCAGCACATCTCTGTTTTTCTTTCTATAGGTATTGAAGCATCTGCGGCATTTGAACTTCACTAATAATATGGGAGAGCAAGTGGATTTTGATGAGTCTGGGGGCCTAATAGGAAATTACTCCATAATCAATTGGCACCTGTCACCAGAAGATGGCTCTATTGTGTTTGAGGAGGTTGGACACTATAACGTTTTTGCCAAGAAAGGAGAAAGATTGTTTATCAATGAAAACAAGATCCTATGGAGTGGATTCTCCAGAGAGGTAAGTCAAGCACCACTCAACCTATATCAGTGTTGATCATGTAAAGACGCATAAATTTGGGCAAAAATTATTCCCTAAAGTGAACAAGGTTCACTTTCTTCTTTCTGTTCCACACAAAGCAAATAAATACATGTATGTACCCGACTTATAGTGGAGGAGCAACAAACAAGGTGCATGCATGCGACTTTGTAACAACATTTCCACTTCCTCTTATTCTTCCTTCCTTAACCCGGGCAGGACACAGTCTGGCTTCACACTGAAAGAGACATTCCTCTTTTTATTCTAGTTGCTTTTTAAAAAAATCATAACAAGTAACTTTAAATAAAAGCAGGTGTTTTTGGCAGAAGATTTCATGGACCTCAGCCCTCTTTTTCAGTTGCTATGAAAGTTTATGGCAAATGATAGGTATTACTCCTTCATATGCCACAGAGTCCTTGTTACTTTTGAGACAATAGACTAACATGGCTGCCGTTCAGGAATTTAATCCAGAGTGTAACTCATCTGCTGGAGACATTCCTCCTCATCAGTCACCAAAATTAGATTCCTAGTTCCCTCCGATAAATGTGCAGGAACTTCTTTTCTCATTTGTACTCGCATCTTAATGAAGATGGATTTCCTTATTGGCTTTTTACAACTAATGTCTTCTATAGAGTCCATCCCAAGTACTTTCTCTCCATTTTCACAAGGAATCTGGAGGGAAAACATTTCCTTCCAGAAGTGCTTTATTCTATTTAACTATTCTTAGTGGCACAACCAATTTGAGGCTGCTTTTATTTTCTGACTCAAACACTAGAGCCTGCATACAATCATATACAGGCGTCATGGTAAGCACCTGCTTTTTCAATCCCTTGCATGCTGCTTAACTGCTTCCACATGGCTTGTTCTGCAAAAGAAGGGTGAAAACAAATGGCAGACCTTCTATCTGTAGTTCGTTTCGTGTGATAGGCGCAGCAGGCCCTCTCATTTGTCTCTCCTCCCACAAGCTAGAATCATAAGCTACAATTTGCTGTGAGGTAGTAATTCTGATTTGACAAGGAAGAACCACAGCAGAGTTTCTGATTTACGTGTGACAGTAAAGCAAATGAAAAAAAAGACGGCTCATTTAGCCTTTGGATAACCTGTACAAGTACCTTGCTGGTACTGTGGAAGGGAGCGGGTCTTGAAGGGACACGGCAACATGCCAGTGATTCTTTATCAAACTTTCACTCTCTGCACTCTGGCGAGGTGGTAAATATTGTGTGTGCATAGTTTCCTATTTTCCCAACTGTATTCCCATTATGTTGTGCTACCGTAAAAGTAGGACTACTTTGTGTGCTAATAAGTATATTTATTACCATTCTACTTTGTGGTTTCGTGTGTCATGCAGTCTACACAGAAATAAATTCTGCCTCTTTAGGAGTGAGACGCCATCCTGAAACTAACTTTTGTTTCTGCCCAGAAGACCCATAAAACCATTCCCAACTTTCTGAGTCCCTGAACATCCCTCCCACTGCTGTGTGGTCCCCTAGCTTTGCTCTTTTCCTCCAGACCTTATGCTTTGTGGTAGAATAACCGCTAACATTTGACTCTCTGTGGATACCTTTCAAAACAGACATTTTCAGCTTACCCATATTCAGTTAGGAAATGATATGTTTTAGTATTGAAGATGAGCAGATTTCTGCCCGCACAGATACTTGCTTTCCTCATGTGTTTAAGTTTACATGTTTTATTTAGTTTTGCAAACAAATAAAAGGGGTCAACAGATACTTATGTCTGTGCCCTTCTGCCCAGTCAGCTTCAATCTCAACAATGCTTTCAGAGAAAGACACACACATGTATCACACTGTTGTTTCCTTTTTATTTCTTGGTTATATTGCTTCAATTTTAAATGCATAATTGGCCAAATTTCACAGCTTCTGAAAGGTAAGGTAATTCTGTGACATTGGTCAAATGCTGTGAACTTTCAACCACAACACAGCCAATTCAAAAATAAGCAATGCTAATTTCTACCACCATCCTGTGGTTGTTTCATGTAAGTACAGCTTGGTTGTATATACCAGTTCCTTGCGGAAATATGGGTTTCATGTAAGTACAGCTTGGTTGTATACACCAGTTCCTTGCGGAAATATGGCAGATTATTGAGGTGGTACACAACGTAGATTTTAGGTCTGTCTCCTCTCTGATCCAAGTAGAGCATGGAGCACTAGCAGCTGTTGAATGTGTCGACATACTGTTGTCTTTCAGAGCAATAACAACAATAACTACTACTACTACTACTACTACTACTACTACTACCTAAAAAATCTCACTTGCGGATAAAACACACTTCAGCGGTCTACGTAGTCACTAGGGATTTGGGAACAATATCAAGAAATTTCACCCAGTACTATAAGCAATTGTAGATTTCTGCAATTCCCAGAAGCCTTCATCATCAGCTACGGTTTCTGGGAGTTGCAGTCCAAGAACACCTGGCAAAGAGGCCATCCCGGAAGCAGCAAAATCTGGACAGGGGACAGATTGTATTTTTCTTCAGTGTGGAAGGGATGGTGACTCTCGAATTGGCCTTCTCAGCCACACTAGATGCTGTTCCAAGTCCTCCATACAGAGCACGTGACCATAGTCCTTTGAGACTGAAGGATGCCTAAACATCTTCACAACCTAGCTAATTGACATTGCAATTCCAGGGGATGTCAGAACTGAAGATAAAGAATTGGAAAAAAATCAACAAAATACAGAGACCTGGCAGTAGAAATAATTTGCTTGTGGATGAAATACATTTCAGTGGTCCCCATATTTATTGGGGTCATTGGGAACAATAGCACAGGATATTAAAAAATATTATAACCAGCTGCAGAGCTCTAAAATGAGACAATTTGAGCTGGAAAAAACAGCAATATTAGGAACAGCATACATGTTACACCAATATTTAACAGATACAGTACTTATGTTTTGGTTAAAACTTGTATCTGTTATATAATACCAGTCAATGTTTTTCTGATTGTTTCTTCTTTTGTCTTTTTTTTACTGTGTTTCATATTTTTGAATATTTTCATAATAAGAGCAAAGTGCTGATCTATCAGTTCCAATTTGCAGCAACCCAAACTTCAGGTTGTGCTCTGGGATTGTGTGGTTTGCCTAAGGCCACGTGGTGGCAGGGCATGTAACCCATCAGACACGCATGCCCCAGGAGATCTCAGCTGGCTCTTTTCCTAAGGATTCCTAAGGATTCAAACTCAGCAGCCAGTCACTTCGGCCCATTAACTTATACCAGCTATATTCAGAGCTATATCACCCTAGAGTTTTCTCGCCGTGGGGAGTAAAAAAAAATAAGTTGTGGTCAGTGTTGCATGCTGGCAAGGTATGGATGTGCACACCATTATTCCAAGCCCAAATTGTTGCATTTCATCACTGCCATCAGTCTAGAACTCTAAGACCTGGTTCATACACTTGGCAGATGCTGATCCTTCTCACATAGCAGAAGGGCAGATGCGAGTGGAAGTGTGTGTGTGCATGCACGCACACACATTGTGCAGTTTATGAGATGGGTATTCATCTCACAGGCCCGCATGTGCATCAGCCTGATTCATACGATCTTTTTCTGTTTTGAAGCAGCTCCTCAGGGCCCCAGGAAGGCCCTTCCCTGGCCACCATATCTGAGAAAGAGCAGCAGCAGAAGCAGCCCCTGCCACCTGCCCCCCTCCCCAGCTAGTGGTAAGCACTGGGTCCCCTTGGGTGATTCACCTTCACTGGCACCATGCCATTGCATGTACCCTCAACAACCCTTCCCACAGCCACTACATGGAGAGAGGGGCTGGTGACAGCAGCCGTAGCGCTGTAGCCTCTTTATTCACCAAGTAAGCAAGTGGCATTAACGGCAAACAGCAGCCATGCCCACAAATTGGCCCTCTCCCCTCTGAGTGGTAGTGACTGCTATTACTCTGAGTCATGTTGATTCTTGCCAGTTGTGCAAGCAATGGACTGGCAACGGTGGCAAAGAACAGTTGCCTCTACCTGCCTCGTGCTTCTCGATAAACATTGGCATCTCATAGCAGAGACTAGGAAAAGCAGGTTGGCTGGCTGTGAACTTGGACCTCCGCTCAGGGTGCCATGTCTCACATCATGTCCCTCATGCTTGGTGGAGGGGAGGGGCATGTGGTTGCTTCTGCACAACACCGAAGGAAGCTTTCTGCCTGGGATGAACCACCACTGAATATATCTAGGATTTCATATTCTGCCTGCCTCTCCTAAAGTAACCAGATTGTTTTTGTTTCTGCTAGGTGCCATTCTCTAACTGCAGCAGGGACTGCCAGCCAGGCAAAAGGAAGGGCATTATCGAAGGAGAGCCCACATGCTGTTTTGAATGCGTAGAATGCACTGATGGGGAGATCAGTGACGAGACAGGTATGATCTGACACTTGACAAAGAGAACTCTGCTGTCATCTCTGTTTTGAGATTCTTGCTGGTAGAGGCCCACGGTCAACATGTTCTGAAAAATCGCTGCTTACTCTCAGTTGCTCGCTGAAAGAAAGTACATGTTCCATTTTGTCAACAAAGAGAAATTCACTCTTTAGTTGCCTCCTTAAAGAAAGCCTGTCAATTTTCACACGACACTGCAACAAAATAGAGAAGCAAGATGTCTTTGTGGTAATAGCATCTTTAATACATTATTAGAGGTAGGGTATTTTATTTGAAGACCTTATACAGTACTTCTTGATGTTGCTCTTCACTGGGAGCTTGCATAATAGAATGTACACCTATGAAAACTCTAAAAAGGTGCCTCTTATAATCCACAGCCAGTGCCAGACTCCTCAAGTACAATAGGAGTGTTTTATTCCACAAAGTGCATGTAGTCATTTATTAGATACAAAGGACGTCACATTTCTGTTCATGGGAAACTGAGACTAAGAATTCCTCTTCAAAGAGATGCCCTCTATATTAATAGAAATTGTAGTCATTTGTGGCCCTAAAAGGACTGTTGAGTCATTTTGCTCATGGCCAAGTTTACAGTGGAGCCCTTCTGGAAGGACACAGAAGGAGCCTCCTGGAGGAATGGGAAAGCATTGCAAGTACACTTGGGTATCCTCTGGGCAACAGCATACATCTGGCCAATCCTTCACTTCCAGTAGTTCATGACACTAGGTGACACTACTGAGTTGTAGGGTTATGGCCCTCCAAACTAGAATGCACAGAAAGATACAACTCTGGCACTAATCAAGAACTGCAGTGCCTGACCTTTACTTATCCATAGATATAACACATAGAGAGAAGTGAAGCAATACGGTCCCATCTGCCTATTGCAGGGCTTGGTCCTTCCCCCACATGGGTCAAAATTGAGGTAGCCACCTCAGGCAGCTGACATTTGGATTCCCAGTAAAATGCCATTAATTTGTATTCGCGAAGGCTTTCACAGCTGGGATCTAATGGTTGTTGTGGGTTTTTCGGGCTCTTTGGCCATGTTCTGAAGGTTGTTCTTCCTAACGTTTCACCAGTCTCTGTGGCCAGCATCTCTGGCTGTCCTCTGAAGATGCCGGCCACAGAGACTGGCAAAACGTTAGGAAGAACAACTGTCATTAAATTGTTTTCTTTTTTTTAAAAAAAGTTTTTTGTTACATTTAGGATTTTCTGTTCAGGTACCAAAATGCCTTAGGCTGTCCCACAGTTCTTATAAGAGTGGTGGAAAACATGGCTGGATTTTGAAAGGGAGGTCATGGGATTCTCAGTTCCAGAATCATAGGGTGGATTAATTCCTAGCCTAGGTTAAACAAGGTGTAGTGGCAGAAGAGCACAATCGAGGCATATGTTGGGTGGGAAATGGATGGGGCAAAATTTTGGTTTCACATAGACGGGAAGAGAGGAAAAGAGGAGGGCATCACTGGATAGTATATTTTCAGAAAACATGGTTTATTAACCAGATAATAGTAGGTACAAGAGTTGGGGAAGTAGAAGGGGAACTGGCCTCACAAAGGTGGTTTAGGTTTTAGATTTAAAGAACTGTAACTTATTTTGAACACAATCCACAAGGAGTTTTAACTATTCAAATCCCATTGAAATGAGTGAGATGCTTGCAAGAGCCTGGCAGTGTGCTGCTTAATGCGTTTGACATGGTTCCTCTTCTTGAAGAAGGATGCAAGCCATTCCTTTCTGTATTCAGCCATATTCTTTTTAACTAAGAGAGTCTTGTCTTTTCCAGATGCCAGCGCGTGTGAGAAGTGTGCAGAAAACTTCTGGTCCAATGAAAACCACACATTTTGCATTCCCAAGCAAATAGAATTTCTCTCTTGGACAGAGCCCTTTGGGATTGCTCTCACCCTTTTTGCAATACTAGGCATCTTTCTCACCTCGTTTGTCCTGGGTGTCTTTACCAGATTTCGCAACACACCCATCGTCAAAGCCACAAATCGAGAACTCTCCTATCTTCTATTGTTTTCTCTGCTGTGTTGCTTCTCCAGTTCCCTTTTCTTCATTGGCGAGCCCCAGGATTGGAACTGCCGCTTGCGACAGCCAGCCTTTGGCATCAGTTTTGTCCTCTGCATCTCTTGCATTCTGGTGAAGACCAATCGCGTCCTGCTGGTTTTCGAGGCCAAAATCCCCACAAGCCTCCATCGTAAGTGGTGGGGCCTCAACCTCCAGTTCCTGCTGGTCTTCCTGTGCACATTTGTGCAGATAGTTATCTGCGTCATTTGGCTGTACACAGCTCCCCCTTCTAGCTTTCGGAACCATGAGCTGGAGGATGAGATCATCTTTATCACCTGCAACGAGGGCTCCTTGATGGCACTGGGCTTCCTGATTGGATACACTTGCCTCCTGGCCGCCATCTGTTTCTTCTTTGCCTTCAAATCCCGCAAGCTGCCTGAAAACTTCAACGAGGCCAAATTCATCACTTTCAGCATGCTGATTTTCTTCATTGTTTGGATCTCTTTTATTCCAGCCTACGCAAGCACCTATGGGAAGTTTGTTTCTGCTGTGGAGGTGATTGCCATCCTGGCTGCCAGTTTTGGGCTCCTGGCTTGCATCTTCTTCAACAAGGTCTACATCATTCTCTTTAAACCCTCACGCAACACTATTGAGGAGGTACGCTGTAGTACGGCTGCTCACGCCTTCAAAGTGGCAGCCAGGGCAACACTACGACGCAGCAATGTGTCCCGCAAGAGATCCAACAGTCTTGGGGGGTCCACAGGCTCTACCCCATCCTCATCCATTAGTGGCAAAAGCAACCACGAAGACCCCTTTGCACTACCAAGCCCTACAGAGCAACAGCAACAACATGGGTGCAGGCAAAAGGTGAGTTTTGGTGGTGGGACTGTCACCTTCTCACTGAGCTTTGAGGAGCATCAGAAAAATGCAGTAGCCAACAGAAATGCAAAGCACAGGAACTCCTTGGAAGCCCAAAATAGCGACGATAGCCTCACGCGGCACAAGGCCCTTCTTCCTCTGCAATCTAATGAACTTCTAGGTAGTGAGCCCAATTTCCAGACAGCCTCAAATCAAGGCTCCAACACCCAGGAATCAACAATTGGAGAAAACAAGCAGGAAGGACAAAATTTAGAAGAAGACCAACCTCCTTTATCAGCTTCATACCTGCGGGATTTTGTAGGCAATGACTCCAACATAGAGAATGCCATCCATTCGTAATCAAAGGAGGAGGAACCAATAAACTCGTGCTTTTCTTTTGAATGGAGAAAAGGACTGGGTCCATCTGCAGCACAGCCAGCCACTTCTTGCTGTTAGAATCAGGCACCTCCAAGAAAAAGTTGATGGGGCAGTTTCCGAAGCGTGCATCTTGTGAGCCTTTCAGTGGAATTCGGTGGTGGTTGTGGAAGATACAAGGATAAGAAAACTTTTGGAAGGATGAAGAGAGATTTTTGGCGTATGAGCAAAATTTTGTCATCACCATTTCACTATAGTGGTTTAGGCCACCAACATGTTGGTTAGTGAACATACCTAGGGAGTTCCAGTAACATGTTCCACTTTTTACATTGATGTATATTATCCCTTTTCTTCATATGATGTATAATGGTTCAACTTTATATGTAAAACTGCCTAGGCTCAACAAAGGAAAAACGTGCTGCTTTACATAAAACAGGGCATCTAGTTTCAATTAGGCAACCGTCAATCTCCAGGAAATTGCTGAACTACGTTCAGCCAGGAGCTTGAACGTAGAATGTATTTAAATTCCTAGATGTTGCTCCCTGTATGTATATAAAAAGACAAGCCAATTAACGCTGTTGCCAGTGCCTTACATGAGGAATTAATGTATTGCGCCCATGAGAGATATCTCTGCATTACACAGAAACAAAGTTTCCCCAGAGGTTTGTTTCCAGGTCTTGCTCACTTTGAAGGCTGAAAGAGAATTTGTAATCCTACAGATTATATAAAGAGCTCAGTCAAATGTGTCCATTAATTTAGGCTTCTGTTGAAGTCTTATTGCAGCAGTTTGAGGGTTGGGTTCGGGTTTTTTCTCCTGTAAGATATCTAGCTGTAATAGTTTACACCTCATTGTGCTGTGTCAGCTTCTCTAAACCTGGAACTACTAAAGGCCAAGTTGAGAACTGCTGAGGTCCTACACTATCATGTTTAAGAGGCTCCTGGCATTATTAAAAACATATATCATTCTAATAGAAACGTATGTTTTTTTATATAAACAGGCCCATTGCAAACTAAGGCTCTTGACTGTATATTGCTTAGCTTATACTTAAACCCAGCACTGTAGCTATTTACACAACTATTCCAGGACATTTTCAGATGCAACCAAACTGAAAAAGAATTGTAAGAAGGTGAAAAGTCCAGAAATCGGGGGGAGGGAGGCTATCTTAATTGGCTGTGGCAGATAAGACTCAAAGTTTGAGGTGGAACTGACTTAAGAGGACTAGTTATCTCTGAAATTTTTCACAGCTTCTCAAGTTTCAGATTGATTCGTATTTGTTCACAGTTTAGCTATGGGAAGGCTCTTTGCGCAGCGGCAACATTTTATCAGCTCATAATTCTGAAGTTAGCTGGCTGGATTAAGTATCTGGCTACAGAGCCAGAGGTAGGGAGTTGGATTTCCCATTGTGCCTGCTGTGAGCAGAGTCAGCCTGTGTGACCTTGGGCAAGCTGCAGAGTCCCAGGGCACCCCCAGAAGAAGGCAATGGGAAACTACTTCTGAGTATTCTCTACCTGGAAAACACTGAAAAGGGTTGCCAGAAGTCAGAATTGACTTGACAGCACATGATGATATTAATTCTGAAGCTATTCCTGTTATTTCTTAATGTTTAAAAAGTGTTGTCTTAAGATGCTGTTGTTGTTTAGTTGTTAAGTCATGTCTGACTCTTCGTGACCCCATGGACCAGAGAATGGCAGGCCCTTCTGTCTTCCACTGCCTCCCAGAGTTTGGTCAAATTCATGTTGATAGCTTTGATAACACTGCCCAACTGTCTCGTCCTCTGTCGTCCCTTTCTCCTCCTTCCTTCACACTTTCCCAACATCAGGGTCTTTTCCAAGGAGTCTTCTCTTCTCATGAGATGGCCAAGGTACTGGAGCCTCAGCTTCAGGATCTGTCCTTCCAGTGAGCACTCAGGCTTGATTTCCTTCAAAATCGATAAGTTTGTTCTCCTTGCAGTCCAGGGGACTCTCAAGAGTCTCCTCCAGCACCACAATTCAAAAGCATCAATTCTTCGGCGGTCAGCCTTCTTTATGGTCCAGCTCTCACTTCCATATATCGCTACTGGAAAAACCATAGCGTTGACTAAGCAGACCTCTGTCGGCAAGGTGATGTCCTTGCTTTTTGAGATGCTGTCTAGGTTTGTCATTCCTTCCGAGAAGCAGGCATCTTTTAATTTCATGGCTGCTTGTGAGGGTTCACCATGAGCCTCCAACTTTTTCTCAAATAAATCAGGAGCTGGTTTTAAAACAAAGTCCAAACTGGTATTTATTTCTGTTGACAACGGCAAAACTTCTTTAAAAGTATCTTTCGGTAACTTCTCTTGCAAGGCCAACGGGCCCCGCAAGGGCAACCACATTTCAGAATCAAAAGGGTTTAACAATTTGACTTCCCAAGGTCCCGGAACAAACGGGTCGTAATCAGGAAAGTCTCCTTCCATTACTTCATCGTTCAGTAATGGTAAGACCTCATCTTCTCGCTCATCTCCCCACACCAGATTTCCTTCTCCCTCAGAGGTTCCCCATGGTCCCGGAGGTACCTCATCCCCCGTGCCTCTTTGGCCTGCCATGTCGGGTGTTCTTCAGCTTCCCTGGCTACCGCCTCTCATTCCTCCCTCAATCACCTCCTCCACTCCCTTGCCTCCGACTCGCCCCAGTATGACATTGGGGAAGCCCTCTGCGACAGCGAGTCAGGTTCTTCTTTGGGTACTTTGATCTTTTCCCATTTCCCAGTCCATGGGTCTTCTACCCAGATACGTTCCAACCCCCCGGTATATTGTCGCCCCCCACATTTATATCCCCCATTCCCGCCTCAACTACGGACCGCCCCTGCTCGTCCCTTCCCGCCAAATCCTGACCTGTCTGTGTAGACACATTCAGACCCTGTAGATTCATCTATTCCCTGGTGTACCATTCTGGTAGTGGTTGGCGGCGGAGTGGTCTTTATTTCTTTAGACAACTTACTGAGAGACGGCACTCCAACAAAAGCCTCTATGCTCTCGTCCCGCCTCTCACACTGCTGTCACCATCTGCAGTGATCATGGAGCCCAAGAAGGTAAAATCTGTCACTGCCTCTATATCTTCCCCTTCTATTTGCCAGGAGGTGATGGGACCAGTGGCCATGATCTTAGGTTTCTTTGATGTTGAGCTTCAGACCATTTTTGGCGCTCTCCTCTTTCACCCTCATTAAGAGGTTCTTTAATTCCTCCTCACTTTCTGCCATCAGAGTGGTTCCATCTGCATATCTGAGGTTGTTGATATTTTTTCTGGCAGTCTTAATTCCGGCTTGGGATTCATCCAGTCCAGCCTTTCACATGATATATTCTGTGTATAAGTTAAATAAGCATGGAGAAAATATACAGTCTTGTCCCCCTTTCCCAATTTTGAACCAATCAGTTGTTCCATATCCAGTTCTAACTGTTACTTCCTATCCCACATATAGATTTCTCAGGACATAGATAAGGTGGTCAGGCACTCCCATTTCTTTAAGGATTTGCCATAGTTTGCTTTCGTCCATACAGTCAAAGGCTTTTGCGTAGTCAATGAAGCAGAAGTAGATGTTTTTCTGGAATTCTACAGCTTTCTCCATAATCCAATGCATGTTAAGAATTTGGTCTCTAGTTCCCCTGCCCCTTCGAAATCCAGTTTGTACTTCTGAGAGTTTTTGTTCCACATACTGCTGAAGCCTGCCTTGGAGGATTTTGAGCATAACCTTGCTAGCGTGTGAAATGAGTGCAATGACTCTTAAAATAGCTGCAAAGAAAAATTATTTTTTTTATTTTTTTATTTTTTTGCTGCTGCATGATGTACAGAAGAGCAGACTTAAGAATTCGTGTGTCTGACATGTTGAAACAGTATGTTGATAACAGCGGTAAGAAAAAGGTGAAGGAAGTAATAACAGTCATGTCTCGGAGCGCTGAAGATAGTTTTAGAGATAAACATCTGGGAAACTAGTATTGTTGAAAGCTGCTGATAATCCAGTATATTCAGATATACATATTACATGACCAGATTCTTTAAAAAATATGTTCCAATGGAAGCTGTGAATAATGGGGTGGACAGATGAAAATGTACAGATGTATAAATCTTGTTTTGTGACTTTAGGAAGAATTAAAGGAAGTGACTAGGAAACTGCAGTTGTGGGCAATGTTATTTTTTTCTGTGGGTGAAACAAGTTGAAATGAAATACATGTGTTTCAGTTGCCCCAGCTGGATCTCCTGGCTATTCACACTAGGGGAAAGTCTACATGATACAATGAGCCAACGATATACAGGAGCCCTGGTTTATCAGTTATGAGTAGGATCCTATTTCGCTGTTTAGTCACTCCAGTTTGGAATGGCTGATTAACTATAAGGCATGCCTTTGCCTTCCATGTGTTTCTCTTGCATCCGAATCCAGCTGTTGGAACCTGGGCTTTTAGTAAAACGCACAGTAGATTCAATAAGCCTGAGGTCTGCCTTGCTCTTGCACTTGTACCTGCATATTTTAACCATCAAAACAATGGCCCACTGTTAAAAATGCAAATAGATCGCAGTTGCTTCGTGATGCAACTACAGGACAAGACCAGATCTACCAGTACCTTTTTCTTTGGTTAGAAACTACTGTGGGATGTACCAGGTTGGGCTTTGGGAGCTAGGAATACAGTGCTTCCCCCATGCTGTGACTCTTAATTTAACCCTACCCGTCTCCTAGCCGTCCTAATGCCATGGGGCCAAAGTGTTAAACTTGGCCAGATCTAATCATTGTGTTCCAGCAAATGCTTTTAGATAATGAAAAAGAAAGAAAGAAAAGAAAATTATGGCCCTCCTCCATTATTTCTCCTTTATTTCTGAATGGATAGATGTGGAAGAAATAAAGGCACATAAGAGACTGTCAGATTCATTCTAGGAATGTTATTTGTGCCAGTCTTGCTTCTAACAAGGATGATTAGGTAACCATTCTTTTTAAGAAAGATGGATTCAGTATCCCCCACTGTGTCCTACATGGAGTAGGGGAAATTTATTCATTTTTTCTAACTTAATGTATTGTGAATATATTAGTATGGTATGGTCAATATAATGATGCAAGTAATAATCAAGAATGAATTATGTAATGACAGTATGATCACAGGCATATGTTCTTTCCTCATCAATTCACTAGAAATTTTAAAATAGTGGATTCACCTGACCATCAGGTGTCTGCAGTACATGTGGATCTAGAAAACTGGGACCTAACACCTCATATTGAGGTTAAGGAAAATAATGGCACCAAAGCTGGTCTCCCATCTTGAATTTTTGTAAATATTTCTTTCTGGGAGTGCTAAAGATTTCCTTGTACTAATACAGTGGTGTCCCGCTTGACGATAATCCGTTCCGTTAAAATCGCTGTTAAGCGATATGGTCGTCAAGCGAAAGAAAAAACCCATTGAAATGCATTAAAAACTGGTTCAATGCACTCCAATGGGTGAAATACCTCATCGTCCAGGAAAGATGCTCCATAGGGGAAGCCATTTTCGGTCGCTGTCTTCCGGAAATAGGTCCAGAAAACAGTGATGGGCCATTTTGAAACCCGACAATCAGCTGTTTTTTAACAACTAGTGAGATTTTTTTTTGCAGGACTATGTCTTAACAATGCATGGTTTTTATTAATCTTAACTCTTCCTGTTAAATATTTTTCTAGCACTTTTTAAAATAATGAGAAACAGTTTTCTTAGATAAGAAGGTAAAACAAGAACTTAGATCAAATCCTCACCTAGGACAGCATCCTGTTTCCAGCCTATCTCAGCCCAGTGCATCCAAGAAGCTCATAAGCTATGTACAAATGTTATAGCCATCCTGTTACTTGTGTCCAGCTGCTACAAGTTCTTTTATTCCAATTTCTATGACTGTGTTTTCTGAAGCCAGTAGTAATCGCATCTAGTATGCCATATGTCAAATGACACATTAAATTTGCGGTATGTGAAGCAGCCTTTTTGCGTTTTCTGAATCCCCTGCTAGTGTATTCTTTAGGTGATTGTGAATTCTAGTGTTACAGGAGTGGGACAAAATCTACCGTCTCCTTATACACAATCCATGCTAACTATTGTGTCTCCTCTACCCTGTGTGGCTCTCTTCAAAACGCTGAGGCAGTGACGGAACAATTGGCGGCTGTTGGATTGATTGACAGTCATTCCAGAAAGGTCCCTCCCAGCCAAAACTTCTTAAAAGCAACATACAAAGGTTGCAAATAATTCCAATAAACAAGTCAATATCCTCTTACATAGTACAGTGGTGCCTCGCTTAGCGATTGCTTCGTTTAACGAAGAATTCACTTAACGATGTGTTTCTTGGAGGAATTTTCCGCATCGTTTAACGATGTTCTCTATGGGGGATTTTCACTTAACGATGTCCGTTTTCACTCATTTTTAAGTGTCTTAAAATGTTTGAAACCTGTTTTAAATGCTTGGAATCAGTAGTCCACCTTGTGAAACATGTGCAAACTTAATTTGGCTCTGTTCTGAGTCTTCGTTAATTTTTCGTGATTTTTTGTTTTTCCCCTTTAAATCCATTGAACTGTCGAAAACGGAGATTGGAAAGCCATTCAAAAGCATTGCAGCCGGCTGCAATGCTTTTGAATGGCTTTCCGTTGGGGAAAACATTGTTTCATTTAGCGATGTTTCCTATGGCGATTTTCGCTTAAGGACGGTAATCCATTCCCATTGGAATGGATTAACCAGTTTTCAATGCATTCCTATGGGAAATGGTGTTTCGCTTAACGATGTTTTCCCATAGCGATGGGTTTTTTGGAACCAATTAACATTGTTAAGCGAGGCACCACTGTACAACCAGTAATGTCCACAATGAATTCTTAATAGGAGGCAATTCCAGTCTCAAAGTTACTGTATTTGCATTAAGCCAGCGTAACTGTGCAAGAGGATTTTGGCCAAAATGTCATTGCCTTTAGAGACACAGGATCATTATTTTGTTAGGACTAAATATTCCACTGGCTGGATTGCTCAGTGGGTTGGGTATCTGGATGTGGAGCCAGAGGGTGGGAGTTCAGTTCCTCACTATGCCTCCTAGAACAGTCTGTCTTGGGCAAGCTACACCATCCCAGGATGCCCCCAGAAGGGAAACTACTTCTGAGCACACTTTCTACCTAGAAATCCTGAAAAGGGTCATCATAAGGCAGCTTGCCATGTTCAAAGACTTAGTGTTCTACCCTCCCTGCTTTTATGTAGTCCTTCCTTACAAACCTTTCAAAACACATTCATTTAGGCAGAGGTTAAAAGCTAGGTCTTCTGGGTCATTATACAGTATTACAGTATTTCCAGGGTGAAAAACAAGGTACAGTACAAATCTTTGTAACAGAATATTGGAAATATATTTAAAAGGCAATCTGAAAACATTACAATTAAGAAAGTTCTGAAGAAACAATTTTCCTTAAATTTAATTCAAAGATTGAAGAAAACCCATTTAAATTGTTTGGCCTATAGTGTGGATTCAGTGTTCAAAGCACTTCACACAATACTGTATTTCAGTGAACCTTAAATTATTTCTGTAATGTAAATCAATATATATTACTGTGTTGTATGCACATGGCTGAAGCAGAGAAAGAGGACATTCTTCTAGGACAGAAGCAATATTTGAATCAAGCCCAAATAACCTGCAAGTAAACCAATATGACGTTTTCTAGACCAGTGCATGCAATGGCAAAGTAATTGTTGGACTCGTTTCTCTATCAAATCAATGAAATAATAACAAAGCTTCCAGTTTTCCTGCTTTTTGTAAGCAAAAAGCAGAAATTAGGGAAATGAGATAAATGTTTTTCTTTTATTTCATGGAGTTCCTATTACCATTTTAAATAGCCATCACTTGCTAAATTGTTTGAATTTGCCATTAAATATGTGCTGCAACTGGCTATAGATATTTTGCTCACCATATTTCAGTTTCAGCCTATGTAGTCAGAGAAGTACCACTGAGTAACTGCATCAGATGGGAGTCATGCCCTATAACTGGATTGAGAGATTAAATCAACTTTTTTTTCTAATAGTGCCTGTATTATATGATGGTATTTTTACCAATGAGTTAGCCCCTTTGAGAATGCAGTGAGGCTATAAATATATTGGAAGCATGGCTGAAGCATCGGTGCCTGGCGTTTTTTGAGAACAAAGAACATTGAAGGCCAAAGACTTCCAAGCAATAGAGCTCCCCCTCCCCCAAAACCCAGCTATTTCTGGATGGGTTGAATTGGAGCACTGGCATTTCCATAATACCTGCTTTCCGCATGCATTGTTTTCTTTTTTCTTTCTTTCTGGTGGAAATCTCTCCATCCCATTAAAACTATCTTTATTTTTTTTTTCTTAAGAGGCTCTTCTTTGACATTTACATCAGCCTAAAATGCAAGATATTTAGACACCGAAGACTTTCCTACAATAAAGTAAAAGGTCTGTGTCTCCTATTAAAAAACAATGGGAATAAAAAGAGCTTACCCAGGAGGTGAGGCACATATGAATAATGGCAGAAACAGGTTTTCCATACGCTTGCATGAAATCCCCTGCTCCATGCAATGTTCTTGGTGCTGTCACCTTGTTAAAAATAGGGCTACTGTACTTTCTTCCCAATTTTCATCATATGCTGATACATGTACTTGTTCCCCAGTATCCTTAGTCTTCTAGAATAATTTTTAAAAGAATCCGCCTAAATACAAGCTGTTCCAGATACAGTATTACATGGTAGCCTCAGTGTACTTTCTATAGCTTTCAGTACTGAAAGACGTGTTGGGAGATCAGATAAGCCAGGAAAAGGTATCATGTTAATGAGCTATTCTTTCAGCTACTGGTCAGATGAACAATTAGAGAACGTTTTCCTAATCCTTTTAACAGTGGTAGTCACTGAGACGGGAAGCTCAAGCATCTAATTTGTCAGATTTCACACCACCATCACTCCATAACAAGAAACCTGTTAGAATACTGTCTGCTATTCAAGTTGACTTGCATTTGAGACACTTCTAAAAATTCATAGAATGTCAGTATAAATTTGGCATAAGAACTGAACATGCTGAATGAAATTTTGAAAAAGCACTGTTTCTGAATAGTTCCAACCTCACCCCTAGATTCACTAGCTGGCCTTACATACAAGCACCTGCTTTTTCCCCCTTAGTGAGAAGGGGGCAGGAATGCTGGACTTGAGAAGGATCCCTGAGGAAGCATTTGAGGACTTTAAAAAAGTACAGTGGTGCCTCGCTTAACGAGCGCCCCGTTTAATGAAGAATCCGCATAGCGATTTGTTTTTTGCGATTGCAAAATCGATCACATTGCGATCTTTTTAATGGCAAAAAATCGCTTTGCGATGATCGGCAAGCTGTTTCACTTACCGATTTTCACATAGCGATGTTTTAAAAACAGCTGATCGGCGGTTCCAAAATGGCCACCGGAAAAAATGGCCGCCCGCAGTGTTTTCACGTCCATTCCTCGCATACCGGGCAGCGAAAATGGCGGCTGTATGGAAGATTTTTGCATAACGCTGAGTTTTAAGCCCATAGGAACGCATTAAACGGGGTTTAATGCATTTCTATGGGCTTTTCAGTTCCGCATAGCGACGAATCCGGATAGCGATGATTTTTCCGGAACGGATTATCGTCGCAATGCGGGGCACCACTGTATTTAAAAGCACAAGTGGAGATAAGTTTATTCTTTTTTCTAAGATAAAACCTTTGCTTGATTATAGAATTTTGTCAAAGAACCCATGAACCTAACCTTGAAAAGCTGAGCTTCCAAATCAAAGGAAGTGTACGAACTACAGATTACTATGCAAGACGGCAAGAACAGAAACTTTAAAAGCAAAGACAGATACAAAGCTGCTGCTTTTCTCTATAATTACAAAAAAAATCTGTTTCAGAATTGGCAGCAGACATAACTTAATTGTTTTAGGTGCACAGAAGGAAGGGAAATGGTCTGTTCCTGCTCTGAAAAAAATCTGTTTCAGAATTGGCAGCAGACATAACTTAATTGTTTTAGGTGCACAGAAGGAAGGGAAATGGTCTGTTCCTACTCTGTGTTTTATATACCTATATGCAGTGGTAAAGACAAAGGAAGCTGACACTATCAATAGAAAATGTTCATGCATGAAGTAAAACAGCAGACAAACTAATTTGGCAGGTTTAATTACTTTCCCTTGTATTATACAAAATATTTTACAATTTTAAAAACATTTTCCCCACAAAAATCATATACATATATTTATATTTTAAGAGCCAATTACACAGAAGGGGGGAAATCATATGCACAAAAGATAACCAGCTTCCTTTTATTTTACAAGAACAATCTAGCAGAAGAATAATTAAGACATAGGTCCTGCCCTGCACATTTGAGGGGCTTCTGCTAGACCCCATTTCACTCCAACAACCCAGAAGCATTCTTCTTTGATTAAGTGCAGAGCTGAAGAACTGTTTTCCCCAACTTCCCCAGGGGAAGAAACAACTGCTGTTGCATATATGGTGGCTCAATGAGATATTTTCAATCAGTTTATGCTGTACCTTTCATTTTAGCAGCACCTTTGAAGTCAAGAGACCAGAGTTCTACATCATGATCCTTTCCTTTAAACAGAATACAATATTTAAAAATGAACAGTCTGTGCAACGTCAGCACAAAGATCTAATTCCCTTTCTTGGGGCCCAAAAATTATTCATTGTATACTCCCAGGACTATAGGAGTAGCTTGCTATTTTAAAGTTGTGCCTGGTGGACATCAGTGTGGGGTATAATAAGTACTGTACCATCAAAGGAATTGGCTGACAGCCAGTTAACTGTTCTGTACAACAGAGGTTTTCAGGAAGCTAAATTCTACACCTGACAGTCCAACGCAGGACATGAGAGAGCAGCCCGCCCAAGTGACTCTTGGAGGCCATTCCAACAGGGAGTGTGAACGTGGATGAATGGCTACTTCTCTGAGAGCAGGAAGGAGATTGCTGCACTACAGAGTGTGTGTGTGTGTGTGTGTGTGTGTGTGTGCGTTTGAGGGGGTAAGAACAAAGAGATCAGTGGTGATGAGGGCCCATCCTGCACTCACAGGGGAGCCCATCCAGGAGTCACTGCTGGATACCAAATGCTTGTAGAAGTGTTGATAGGTCTCGGGCATCGGCTGCCCCGTAGAGGTCACTCTGGCCCAGCATGGAGAGTGCCATACGGAGAGTGCTCCAGATGTTGTCAGACATGGCACCCTGCTGGCCTCGTGGGCCCCGGCTCTTCTGCTGCATGTGCAAAGCCTCTAGGAAGTGCTCCACAGCCTCTCTGTCAAGACCACAAGATAAGATAATGAAAATCAAGTAGACAGGATTCGCTGCAAACACTGGGCATCATGGGTGCTCCCCACCAAAGGGCTCCTATGGTTGCCAATCAAAAGGCATCATGTAACCACCCCATCTTTCCCTCCCCTAACAGAGTTGTTTCTTTTCTGATAGAGGATGAAAGGAGAATATGGGAGGGTTATGTGATAATGAAAACATCTGCCTGGACATCACACTCAATCAAAAGAGCAAGTTAAGTACATTTGTGCCTCTTAGCCATAACACTATAAAACCATACAGAGGAATGGTATAATTGGAATAAATGCTGCCATGCTGGCTCTACTCCCAACTTAAATCTTGCAACTCAAATACATAGAAGCATCACCAATTTAAGACAGTTCTTCCCCTGAACATTACAAAATGGTAAAGTGGAGAATGTTAAGCTACAAAAAAAAAGGTTTCAGAAAAATATACACTTGTTACTCTCTCTTTATCAAGATTTAAGGACAGAATCTAGGCTATAAAAATGTGTGGTTATGTCCTATCTTTAACTCAACTTGGTCCCTCCAGATGTATTAGAAAGAATAACTCCAAGAAGTCTCATCACCCCAGGCAATACAGTTGGAGGCCACCAAGTTGGGGGACAGAACTAGTCAGCTGAGGAGTTCACTCTCTCTCTCTAAGAGAGAGTGAACGTGGCATTTTGACACTAGCTAACTCGTATTATAGAAATCCCTCTTGTGATGTGCTTTCATACTTAACCTAGTACAGGTGGAGATATACAAGCTGACAATTAACACAGAACCATCTATGTTCCAGAACATTAACAGAGAGATGGTGAGCTACGATCCTCAGCATTCACAAGCGCGGGCACACCATCACCACAGGAGACTTGGGGGCTCCACCAAATCAGACAAATTTCGAACACTGGACCTCTTCTGCCTTTTCTTTTCTCTCCCTGCGACTTTGCCAACTCTTTACCTTCCCCTATTCACCCCCAACTTACCTGTGGGCCCCTAGGTTGATGCAGCTGATGCCCAGGTTGTAGCGGGAGCGGATGTAGCCCGGCTGCAGCTCCAGGGCCCGCCTGTAGGCTGCCACAGCTTCTTCACTGCGGTTGCCATTGGCCAAGGTTGCTCCTAGCTTGTTCCACAAGAGATGGTCCTAGAGAAAGGAGTTAAACAGTCAGACTTGGGGAAAAAACAGGAAAATCCACAGGTGCCACACCCCATGTAATGGCATCACAGCCTCAGCAAGCTCCAGAGGTTTCAGGATTCATCCTTCCACTCATTAACCTCTCGTGCCTTTACTCTGCAAATATGTAGATATATTATTGGTATAACCTAATAGTTAAGAACATGAACAGTCCACTAAGAAATTCTTACTTCACATCTCATTTTTGTCACATGATTGTAACTGGCAAGACGCTCGTTTTTCAACTTCAAGTCCTTCATTGGTAAAAGGGAGCATACTGATACACATGCCTCGTTGCCCTGACTAAGATGACAAAGAGGGAGCACTCTTGAATCCTCAGGTAGTGCCATATAACTGCTCAATATTTTCAGACTCCTGCCTTAGATATCAATGAACTGGTTTCCCTCTGGATAACCTGCAGCAGCAAATTATGATAAATCCACTCCTAGTTTTTTTTTTCTGTGACACTCAACAGCCACTGGCCACACCTTATGGAAAGTGATTGTGAGGCTTTTGTGGTGAGTCATAGAATGTGGGCTCTTTGCCTGAAACACAGTTCTAAGAGTTCCACAGTTGTTTTTTTAAATCATCTAATGCTTGGATGAAAACATGTGGCTGTCAAAATGTTCTTGTTGGACTGTAACTCCCATAATGCCTCACCATTGTATATGCTAGCTAAGGCTGATTGGAATGGCACTCCAAAAAATAATAATAATGAAGGTCACATGGTTCTCACCCTGCTCTGACAGAAGTACCATGGGACCTCATGTGTCTGGTCTGTTAATAAAGCCCCCAAAACCTATTTCTGCTGTGCAGAAAGAAGAAATTGGGGACACCTTTTGATCGCTTTAATCAGGAATGAATTCATTTGGGATCTGCTCTTTCATATATATTTTTTTGCTCCCAAACTCCTAGAATTCTCCAAGAATTCCGAGACCACAGTTCTTCAGAAAGCACTCTCTATTCTGGGCTTACTAGACGCCCAAACTACAACTCCCAGGAACACCACAATAGCTTCCTTTTTGATTTTTTAACATTAACAACAGGAAGCACAGGGCAGAGGAGCCCATGCAGCCTCCAAGGCCGGCTCTTTGCCAGATGAGTGAAATGTATGTTTGTGGACCAAAACTCCCAGAATTCCAGCAGAGAATTCCTGCAGAATTCTGGGATATGGAATCCAATGAAAATAAGAGAAAATAAGACAAAAAGAAAGAACCACCTTAGAACAAGACCCTGTTTCACAACTTTGCCTTCTAACCCTGCCACCCTCTTCCCTGTGTCTTCCTTACATTTGGGCGGGTGCTCAGCGCAGCAGTGAAGCAGTCCACAGCCTTCTCATATTCCCCACTCAGGTTGAAGAGAACGCCCAAACCACATTGCACATCTGGATCCACAGCAGAAGTGTTACTCCGTACTGCTGCCAAAAACAGTTCTTTGATTTCAACAAAGAGTGAGCTAGGGGGTGGAGGTGGAAAGAACCAAAAGAGAGAGGCATGGTAATGAAATCCTACCCCAACTGAAGTCTCACTGCCACCACGGCCCCTCTTGCCCAGTTCCAGCCCATTCTTCCCTTCCCTCGAACTCACTCCGTCAAGAGGGAGCCCAGGATACGCTTGGGGGGCCCAAGACCTGAATCAACGCTCTCTGCTTCAGGCTCCTTCCCCACCAAATGACTATAGGCAGGGTTGTGGTGCAACCAATCACGCAGGGTTTCACATGCTTGCTTCTGCAATGACTCATTGGTGAAACTGACTGCCAAGGCCATGAGTGCTGTGAGGTTTCCAGGCTGCAACTCCAGACACCTGTGGGAGAGAGGCAAAAGCACACAGCTGGGACACAACTGGTGTATCCTTGCCTCAACCTAAAATGGGGGGTGGACAGCTTGCATCCAGATACTGTTGGACGACAAGACCCAGAAGCTCTAGCTTCAATAACTGTGAAAACTGGCCCAAAGTGTGAATTTTCATTGCCAAGAAAGGTGCCAAATAACTTGTCTAGCTAATCCCTGTTAGGAGGCGATGCCCACACAAGCCAGCAGCCTCTCCTAACTCCAAACTTCTAGCAAGTTCCGAATCAGACAGGCCTAGGGTATAGACCCCACTGTTAACCTGTTGGGTGTTGGCCTCCTGTTCAGGCCAACGAGCCAGCTGCTGTTCAGGCAACTCTTCTGTTCCAAAGAATGATGTCTGCTGGATCACTAAGGGCCACACAAGATGATACCACCTTGCTCTGTAACAGTCATCTAGTACATTGTTATAATCATTTACAATAAATCCTGTATCCCACAACTGGCACCGTTATATTGCAAGCATCTTAACTTGGAGTTGTTTGTGATCTGGCACTACGCTTAATACAATAGCCAGCAGGAAAGGCTCATGGGAGCTGCAGGCCAACAGCATTTTGGGGGGCAACAACTTGCCCATCTTTGCCCTAACACGGTCACCTTGCTGCTGCTAATCATTGCAAACCGGTGAGGAGTCCTGTTGGCTAGGAAGGTTCAGATGCTTCTCGGCTGCCAAATCAAATACGCTTGCTGGAAATAACTCTGTTCCAAGATTCTTCCCGACAGAGATTCTGATAGCTTGTAAACCACCCACACATCTAATTGCACTAATGGGTGATATATAAATCTATAATCAGTAGTCATTGCATTATTGGGGCAGAATCAATCAAACCATCTGCTGCAAGCAGCTACAGATGCTTTGACAGATTTGGTTTCAGACATGTAGGAGAAGCGAGGCTTTATCTGTAAATCATGAAATAGTCAGATTTAACTTCTCTTATATCAGAACCGCTAGTGATAGCCACTGTCTCCCTGCAACCCTAAATATGCCCAGACCAAGGAGTCCCTCTGCCATGCAAGCTACTCACCGCCTGAGGGCGCTGATCGCGGCAAGCTCCTGCTCATTCTCTGCTTGCGTCGTTCCCAGATACTGCCAGGCCTAACAGAGACAGGACAAGGAACACAAGGCAGCTTTTTAAAGCAACCTGCTCTGCTAGGTGGGGAACAGACGTTTGAGCACCATTTCGTGCTCCCTCCTTTCTCTACATGCCCATCGTTTGAGATACTGGGGAGGCAGGGAGAGGGGGAAACATCAGTGGATGCCACAAATAAATTGGTTGGCAATGGATGCTTTGAAGTCATTATGCTGCTCCCTGAGAAATCTGAAGCAACTGATTACTAAGAGTTATTTGGAATCTGTTACCATGGCCAACCCAGACATCTCTGCATTTGCCTTAAGTGGTTCCTTATCTGTGTTAAATGGCTGCTTGGTCAAAGAGAGAAAAGCAGTGCGGTTTCAAAGCAACCCCAAATTTATCCCAGTATCACACAGTCACAGTATGAAGTGTTCTCTAGCAGCACACAAGGGGCTACCCCTAGGCCAACCAGCCCTGATCCCATTAAACTGAAGCACAACCCGGAGTGCTGCTCTCCTGTCCCGGCTCGCTCACCTCCATGTGATCAGGGCTCTGCTGAACAGCAGCCTCAAAGAACAAGACAGCATTGGGGAGATCTCCCTCCTCCAAGCATTTCAGCCCTTCTTCAAAAGCACGAGGATGGTCCCGCACAGGGTTTTCTTCCTCAAACTGGTATCCCTGTCAGGCAAAGGGAAAAACAAAGCAGCTGCTGCTGTCCTTGCTGGGGAAGATGCCCGGGTAGGCAGGCAGAGCCCTTCCCACTTTTTCACTCCATGGGAGCATGTGGGGAGGAGGAAATGCTACCGAAGGATACACCTGTGCAACATCCAGAACCCATAAACATCCCTTAACTGGATCCTTTAATTGCTGGCTGCTTCCTTCCCACAGGATCCAACAAGGAAGTAAAGACAGGGGGAGGCAGGAGAATGACCAAAGTGGGTTCATGTGAACAGTGAGGAGGGCAAAAGTATGTGGGATCAGGCCAGGGGGAGAATGTAGAAAAATACTACCCCACTTGCACAGCCAAAAGGAAACAGGAGGACAGACAGGGAAGTGGAAGCAGCAGCAGCTGCTGCAGACAGGCGGAAGCCCCAGGGATTGCACGTTCTCTACATCAATACCTTGTCGTAAGTGGAGCTGGCGAGATCCTCGTAGTCCGACAACCAAGGATGGGCCTCAGCGTCTCGCTTGGCCATTTCTTCCCACTCAGCCTGCAGCTTGTCCCAGAAATCCACATCTGACTAACAAAAGTGAAAAAAAGGAATCTCAAATAGGCTCCCTCTGGTTTCCGGCATCAAAAGCCTCAACCCTTTGAAGGGGGGCTTCATTTCTGTCTCCCCAAGGCTGCATTACCTCCACAGCAGTCTTGGCTTGTTCAAACTCTGGATCCAAGCCCAGCACATCTCTGGGGCGTGCAAACTGATCAACCCAGGCCTCAGAGGAATTCTAGGAAGAGAATATAGCAGGAAGAGACTTTCCCCCCTGTTAAGAATAAACACATTGTACAGGATCCTGTTTCTGAGCAGGAAATATGAAGGGAGGAACACTGGGACCATCAAAACAGAATTATGACTAGAAGGGTTTTTCTTTGGGCCTAGACTACATGCTGCTCTGCTCCAGTTGCACAATCTTACTTCTTTGTCCTGCATCAACAGTGAAAAGGTACCTTACTAGCTACACAGAGCAGGCTGCAAGGCAACTTACGCCCCCTGAGCAGCAAGGAGTCCTACCTGCTGCTGTATAAACTCAGTAGCCCATTGCTCTGCCTGATCCTGGTCTCTGGGAATAATGGTCACCCGATTTGCCTCGATGGACACCCTCCCATCTCCAATCTGGCGGACAAACTTTAGGAACTGCATGAAGAAAGGAGACATAGGCAGAGAGCATCACTGTTCAGGCCTGACACTTCCGCAACCATTTTGTACCTTGGCTAGCTCGGACCCCCAACTGAGCAGACCCAAGAGGAAAGGAGAAAAGAGGAAACTCAGTCAGCCTCAAAGAATCACAAGGTGGTCATTTAAACAACTGCACAGGATAAATAATGCACTTCCTGGAAGTCTATTCCAAGAAGGGAGGGTGGAGGAACGAAGCCCAGTTCTCACCTCTGGGTCATGCTGCCACTTTACAAGCCCATTTTGTCCTGGGTCACTTATAAAAAAAAGTAATGGCAGCAGATCTGACTTGAGTACATTGGATTCCTAACTTTAAGAAGAATATATTATTGCAATTCAACAACAAATGAGTGCAACAGAGAGGCTGGAAGAGAAAGACATTATGGCCAGAATCCTATGATGTCTACAGAAAATCTGCATAACTTGCTGCAGCTAATTGTGATCAACTTATAGAGCTATGGGGTGCCCCTCAGTTGTGCAATCATGTACATGACCAGGCACACAACCATGGACTGCTGCAGCACCTCAATCACACACAACAAGTTATGCAAACATTATGAAAACACTAAGGGTATTCTGGCCTATATGAGAGTATGGGGGTGACTAAACTGACAAATAATGTGGGAATTGCTCTGGTACTGGGACGGTCTGATTCGCATTATGTTCCATTGATCGCGTGATGTAAAAGTCAATGTAAATCCGCCTGGAATTCTTCTCCAACCCCATCTATAGTTGATAACTTCACTTCTGGAGGTTTGAATTTTTGGAATCCAATACATTTGCATTGGTTCAGGTGGTGTGATTACTTGAGTCAATGTAGAGGAGCTTGTAGCTGTTCTATTTAAAGCCATTCCACCCAGTTACAGCAACAGTGAGAGAGGCAAGGCAGGGGGGAAACTGGCTGCTGTTTGAATCCTCTCCCTTTCATACTGGGTGCCTGGGTCTGCTTGTTTTCCTCTTCCTTTCCCCTTCCTGTTCCAATTTTTTCTTTTCTTTTAAGGCTTGCTGCCCACACACTACGGCAGCTAGATGACCAAAGGAAGAAAAGAAGTGAGGAGTTGGCAGAGAGATTGGAGAGGAAGTTATCCATCAGTCCTGTGCCATTTCAGCAATCCCTTAAAATCAAAGAAAAAGAAAGGAAATGGAACAGGAACAGGAAGGGAAGAGGGAAACAAGCAGACCCAGACAGCAGGTGGGGGGAACAGGAAGGGAAGAGGGAAACAAGCAGACGCAGACAGCAGGTGGGGGAAGCAGCAGATTCAAACTGTTAGCCACCTGCAAACAAGGCTGAGTACCAGTTCTCTCCTGCTATCCCTGCAGGCTCCCGTGCCATCAACTACAAATTAAACCACGGAAACCCAACTTCCCAGGTTTGACTTCACAGTGGATCAATTTGCATTTTTCCAGCTGCGTAGTCGCATCCTAAAACTCAGTAACCATTTTGAAAAGAGATCAAGAGGTGGTGCCTATACCAGGAGCCTACCATGGCTGCAGTGTTGGAAGCTGAAAACCTATGGCTAAAGGAGGAGTTCCCAGGCTAGCACATTTCGATCCCATGCTTGCTTCCACAATGGATCTCTGGGTTATGCAGATTTAATTATCTCTGCAACCAGTCAACAGATCGACCAAAACATCACAGTGGAGTTCATAGCTACACAAGATGAGCAAGGACCCCACGAGTCCAAGCCAAGACCTCTAATCCATTGCTCTGAATCCTTGGAAATTAACCAGGCAAGTAGCAGAAGACTTAGCAGTGGTCCCCTTCCAGTCATTTCCATCGCTTCCTATGCAGGAAGGATAATGCATCTGAAAGGGAAAGGGTACTGTATCCGTGGGGGCTTGCCATAGGAATGAGAAGCCAGAGGCTATCCCAGACAGACTTGTCACCCTCCATGCAAAAGAGGACAATGGAACCACAGCCTGAGCGGGCAGCGCTTAGGACTCTCCCATTTTTAGCGTGACTGCATAGGCTTACAGTATACTGGGTATCAGACAGTCTAGCACATTCTAGGTACCCTACCCTTTATGAGGTAAAGTAGTCTACATTGACCTAGCCTATGTTGATTCCTCAACTAACCTAAGTCAATTGAGGCCAAGGAGCTGGATCTATCAATTTGTCAACACTTTCTCTGTGGACTGTAATCCCACTCCTTTCTCACAAGGCCTCCCATGATTTCATCAAGTCCTTCCTATCTCATACTCTGCTGCACCAATGCATACAAGAGAGAGAGAGAGAGAGAGAGAGCACTGTCATGCTGAAAAAAATGATCATGAAAACTATTTTGTCTGAAGATGTGAATGTCATTTTCATTTTTCCTCAGGAATACTTCCCTCTATTAAAAGTAATCTGATGAAGTCATCACATAAGGACTAGCCTCATTCAAACAACAACAGATAGCCTGTGGGCCTGGCTGACCACAAGCAAGAAAAAGGAAGCCAACAGAACAAATGCCCACACACGCTAATGTTCTCTCTCCACCTACTAGTGTAACAAATATGGCAAGTGCCCTATGAAGAGAATGCAGGACGTCCTTTTACCTCAGAGTCATTCAGCTTGGGATCATCAACTTTTGAGAGAAAGTCATTGGCAGTCTTCTTGAGATCATCTTCAGGCTGGTATTCCTCATACCTATGGTCAGAAGAACAAACTTGATTCAAAATCAAGCTAAAATGATGTTATGCTTCAAACCAGTGAAGATGAGGGTTTCACATACTACAAGATCTCCATTCACTTATTTGATTTAACAGTAAAGGTAGCAGGCTTCACAGAGGTCAGATTAGCTCTTAGTTTGATCTCCATTCACTTATTTGATTTAACAGTAAAAGTAGCTGGCTTCACAGAGGTTAGATTAGCTCGTTTGACAGGCTAAAACTTCTGAGCAAAATTATCCAGCTGTTGGAATTCCACATACTTGTTCACCTGAGGTGAAGAAATCCATGTCATGCGGGTCCGTCAGGCCAGCTTTTCTGGCATGGTAGGCCACTACAATCCCCAGAGGGACAGATTTACTCACTCCACGTCCATGAATGTGAACTAACCCACATGGGGGCAAGGTCAGCCCTCTAACGCTACCTCTTGAATTACCGTCCCTGGCTTCAAAGTATATCAATTGTAAACCTAGACCTTGATCAGAGAAATGTACCACTTCAAAGCTGAAGGTTCTAGTGCAAGCTTCAAATATAAGGATACCGTTAATTTTAATTGATTAAATATATCTTACAAACCAAATAACATTCCCATGCACATGCTTAGAGGGCCCTAGTAGGTATGCTAAGTTTTAGGTGTTTAGTTTTCATAGCCTTAAGAGCTATACTGAGACAAACATAACATATGCTGTTATCATAGATAATGTCAGGCTCCAGTCTGCACGACAGTTGCAAAGAGGGCTTTCAAACTGAAATAATCAAAACACAGCCATTCCAATAACAACGCATCAGCAGAAAGGAGCTGAAATCAAGAACAGTTTTTCTAATCCTTTAAAATAATTAGACGGCCTAGGTAAGTGAAAATGGACAAAGACACATTCCACATATGGAACTGGGAAGAGAGAAGGCTCAATGCTGGGGAGGAATTTCCAGAATCACATCTCTCTTTCTCAGGTCAGGCAGCGAAGCAAATCAGAACATGACTGCAGTATTCAAGCAGGTTTATGTGAAACTAGGTGATCCCTGAGATTCCAAACTCCCAGTTGGAGACAGTTTAAAAAGCAAATACCAGCACTTTGAACTGAGCCTCAGCAACAAATCAGGAACCAGGAAATATATTTGGTAAGCACTGGCAAGATGTGTTCTGGTTATTTGGGCCATCAGCCTAGCTCTATTCAGGATCAGCTGAAATTTTCGGAGCAGCCTTGAAAGGCACCTCCCCCACACAAAACATTACATTTTCTGACCTACAGACTCCCAGGATATGGATACAAGGGGCTTTAGTCTCTCTGTCTGGGAGGAGTCTCAGTGGAAATACTACTTATCCGATGATGTCCAAAGCAAATACGAACCAACTTGCAGGTTGTGCATCACAGCCTTCCTCCCTTCCCATTTGCGCTACAGTGTGCCACATTTAGTACTACAGAGGATGAGTGGGAGTATAGCAGCACATCCGCTATGCAACCAGTGGACTCAATCCAGACAGACATCATACAATTTAGGTAAGGAATGTATAATTAGAACCACCATCCGGTTTTGGCTACTGGGTGGGGTGTATGTTTGGCGTCCTAGGACCAAACTGGGCAAGACAGAAATAGCCTCTACACTTGTCTTTTCTTTAGTAAAAAGTAAAAAGCTGTCAAGGTGAAGGCAATGTAGACGATGAGTATGGTATGAAAGAAGGAACAGTGTTAACATTTTGCCCTCACTGTGGCCTCCAGGCCAGGATCCAAAGGTAAATGAACCTCACACCTACTTTGTGCTCTTCTTAGGCTCCTATGATGGTACCACCCTAGGAACATAGAAAAGGCTTGCGCTATTGCCCTTGGCCTCACAGACAGCTGATCAGGCCCACTTTACTCGAGAAGCCAAGAGGGGATCAAACACTGTTCTGGCCAGCTGTTGATCATCTGGCCACTCTTCATGTACATTCCCTTAGGAACAACAGGCACATCTATTTCATGAAGGGAGTAAAATTAATTAATATTTATTATAATCTACACCCCCCCCCAAAAAAGTCATTCATTTCCGATAATCTGAATCTTCTAAGAAGTGATTTGGAACTCTTACAGACCCAGAACGTCCAAGACAGGGATCTGCCAGCTCTGATCCTGAACAACTCACTCTAAAATACAAAGAGAAACTAGAGAAGTACTCACCATTTGTCAGCCAGTGTTTGGTCTTCTGATTCTCCCAGCCACAACTTCTCCTCTGACTGCTCCAAATATTCTTCTGCCCACTTGGCAGGAGACACAGACAAGGGATCTTTGCAAAAAACAGAATTAGAAGAGACTTCAAAAGAGGATTTAAGAGATGGTGCGATTCCTCCTTTCTGATGCTGGTAAGGTGAGCTATGGAACACAATCACTGAGGATGAACACAACACAGGACTGTCTTCTAGACCGGTGGTCCCCAACCTTTTTGGAACCGCGGACCGGTTGGGTGGGCGGGCTCCACACGCGGGGGGGGGCAGGGGCACGTGCATGGGGAGACGGTGGAGATCTGTCTCCGTGGCCCAGTCCTGGGAAGCCCACAGAATGGCACCAAGCCACGGACTGGGGGTTGGGGAGCCCTGTTCTAGACCATGTAAGACCACTGACCTTACTGCACTAGGGCCCCCAGAAGTGCTCTTCCCAAATGCAGCCCTTCTACTTGGGGTTCTCTTAACAAGGATACCAAGGATTACCAGGGACTTTGCCAAGCAGGTGAATGTCAGATAACAAGATGACATAATTATAAATTAGATACTCTGAACAGGCAGATACATCTTTCTGGCTAGGTAAAGGTAAAGTTCCCCTTGACAAATTGTCTACTCGTGTCTGACTCTAGGGGGTGGTGCTCATCTCCGTTTCCAAGCCATAGAGCCAACATTTGTCCATAGACAGTTTCCGTGGTCAAGTAGCCAGCGCGACTAATTTGTCCATAGACAGTTTCCATGGTCACAATGCCACTTCCTTCCCACCGTGGTGGTACCTATTTATCTACTCACATTTACATGCTTTCGAACTGCTAGACGTAGCCAAAACAAGGTCCCTGGTGTAAACAATTCAGTCACAATTATAACTTACATTTACATGCTTTCGAACTGCTAGATGTAGCCAAAACAAGGTCCCCGGTGTAAACAATTCAGTCACAATTATGACCTGCTGCTGAAAATCCAACTGGAGAAAACCCATGGCTTAAGGGGAATCACTCAGTGTTTCTCACTCTCCTGCTGGCTCCCCTTCATGTGATCAGTCACACAAGCAGCTGTGTGCTTGTTGCTCATAAACACAAGGTATAAGAAAGGAGAATGCATATGTGATCATCTTTGCATGATCATTTACATAAACAGGATTCCAGCTACTAAAATCTATAGGACTCTTAATAGTTTTACTTGGATCAGAGATGGTGAATGTGACAGCTAAGATACAGTAATAAAATCAGCAATAACTTTAATTGAGCTCCCTAATTGGAATATTGCTCCCTTCCAGACACAACTGGAGATGAGATAATAGCAACAGAGATTTTGTAAAGAAACTGGAATGCCAGAATGGAGAAATTCAGGGGAGCAAAGAAGAAAAGACTGAGGAAGGAGGGGTTGCAACAGCAATTCTGACCCACCTGGCATCAGCCATAGTAAAAAGGCAAAGCTCTTGATCTCTGAAATGACTGAAGGACAAAAGGAAAGTAGCTCAAACTGCACCCATGACATATGTAGGTTACCAGGGAGGGGAGAGACGAAGATATAGACAAAATGTCAAGTGGTAAGAATGGCTTAGAAATTGACAAAATCCCAGCAGATCTTTAAAAGGAATGGCACGGGGGAGTACAATTACCGTACACTTTTTCAGCAATCGCTTAAGAAGATCTATATAGGCCATCTGAGGATAATCCTTCATGCATCTGATGGCATCAAATCTAGTTTATGAAAACCTGTGTCATACTAAATATCATCTTTTGTTACAAGTCACTGTGGTTGATGCTGGGACAGTGTAACACAACTGCACCCTTGGAGTGCCTGAAGAACCTCAATATTAAAAATGAATATAAGCAAGGTTACTCAGAACAAGTGGATCAAAAGTAGTCTTATAATTAGGCCAAGTGAGGCAGCAAATTTTTGGTATCATTAAAAAGGTAGGAAGTTATTAATTATTAGTTTCATTATTGTGATTGTCTTTTTTTTTTTTACTGCCAAGAAGCAGGAAGGGGTGATTGTGTCAAAATAACTTGTTTGCCGTTAAGGACTATGCACCCTAACAGTGAAGGCTGCCCTTTGCCCCCACCTCAGACAACCAAATGCCTTGAGCTAGCCCGTTAAAAACAAAATCGGCCAAGGACAGAGAACAAAGTACCATTCGTGCAAGAACGCTTCATTAGTACAGTGCCTTTGCTTTTTCCTCAGACACTTTATCAGACAACCAGAACAAACTGAAAAGGCAATAAGTACACAAACACACAGGAAGTTACATGAGAAGAGACAGAAGCCCGGTTAACAGGTAAGGAGCCAAGACATTAAAGAGCTCCAGTATGAAAAACGCCCAGTCCCTCCCAACGTCAGCCTGACCTGTAACTTCAGCAATGAACTCTTGGGACCAGTCAGCCTCATTGTAATCCGTGGCAACATCAACCGTAGGGTCAGCAGCATCAAGGAACTCTTGCGTCCAGTTCTCAGACAAAGCTAAGGCAGCCACCCCCGGAGCTGAAGAACATGGGGCAATAAGTCAAAATGTGTATCTAAGTACTAGCTTTGCTCCACTCACACGGGTGAAAGAAACAGTGGCACAGGGCAGAATCCATTCTTCTTCTCAAATTTACTCAGTTACATACACATTCCCATCTAACAAGCCCAATTCTATCACTGACGTCAGCATTGGGGCTCTTCCTGTTCTCTAATCACACTGACCTCGCTGTGGGGCCTGCCGGAAACTAGACTGCTCTATCTCTTGCATTTCAGCCAGCAGATCGTCCATCTTGAATGTCTGTGGGGCTCGGGACAGCAAGGGGCCATTTTGCTCTTGAAGGAACTCAGCCACCAGCTAAAAGGAACGTACATGTGAAGAATAACAACCATATGGTGATGGAAACAACATAGAGCCGCACAGAGGCTGAAATCCAGTTGCACATCTCCACCAGGTGTAAATGTGTTTTTCTTATATTAAAGGCTTCCTCCTCATCCACTACCCATCCCAAAGGCTTCCCCAGGGCAAAAAAGGGGTTCCTAGGAAGCTTTGGAACCTAAAGTTGGCCCCAGGGAAGCAGGGAATAAATTTTTTTAATCAAATTAAAATCATGATTAACATCCCTGTATGATGACATCATCATCATACCTGACAGAGTTGTGCCAACTGGATTTCAGCAAGAATCTCACAGCACTTTCAAGAACAAATACATTTTATTACAGCATCCTTTTTTAGACTAAACAAGTGGCAATCTATGTACCTTTGTATGCCATGATAAACTTAGTAGTCTCTAAAATGCTATTAAGACTATTCTCTCTGGAAAAGAAAACATAGGTAAGGGACAGGGAAAAGAAACATAGAAGGTCTTACTTCATCTTCAGAGGCTCTTCCAAGAGGTTTGGACACCTGTAAAGCAACAAATTGAGTTAGCTGGTGCTACAACTGCAATTGCAAAGGATAACCTCATTGGGATATGATGTGAAGCTGATTTGCATTTTCACTTTCCTTCATCTCCCCTGAAATGCCACATCTCCTCCAGAGGACATGAGTGCAATGAATTTCCTCCTTCTCACATGTCCTTTTCTTCATCTCCCAAAGTGATAACAGGCCTCCTGCCTTCATACTAGGAAACAGTAACACCTACTTCTACTATGGCTTTTGTTTTCTCAACTAACATATAGTAGACATATAATCAGAATGTTCGTATCACTGGTTCTGACCAATACCTGGTATCCTCAACTGAGCAATGTCCAACTTCACTCATCTGAGTTCTTCAGGCAGACATCCCCATCAGCCTACAAGCCCACCCAGTATCTTCACCCCGCTCCAACACACATGGGAGGTGAGGACGCCTACTTCCAGCCTGAGCAAAACTACCAGCTCTACACCAAGAACAGGGCCCAGAGTTACAGGGTAGTGTGAAAAGGTAAATTTCACAAATGCCAATCCCCTGGGGATGCATGTTCACTGCTGTAAGCAGAGATCTCAGACTTCCTCTGAAACACTGAGTGCCTCTCCTGTGCTATGCAACTGCAGGATGATGCCCTCACCCCAACCCATCGAAAAAGAGACAGGCTTGTTTTAATTTTGTACTTCTGATACATAGGAAAGGCATGAAAAGTGGTGTGAGGTAAGAGCTAAGATAAGAACACTCCCCTCCTCTCCTGCACCAAGCCTGGGGTTGGAGATGAGATGATGCCCCACCCTGCCCTACCCAGCAAGAGATGGACACGTTTCAGCAATGGATTTCTGAGATATAAGCAATACCATAAACACCCTGTAGGAACACTCCTATCCTGAATAGCTCAAAGCCTAACACGGGGGAGAAGACTGTCAACCACTTCTCAGGAACAGCACCGGGTTATACATACATATGTGTTATCCTGGCAGACCTGATTATAAATCGGGCATCAGAAACATAAGGAGCTTAAACAGAGGAAACAGACAGGAGCTAAATGACAGTAAACAACCCTCCCGCTTTCCAAAAGTGACAGACAAGGGTGGCTTGGGGAAGAAGGAATGTTTTTATGGAGAAATTATATTTATTTATTTATTCTATTTATATCCCGCCTATCTGGTCGATATGATTCCTATACATAGGAACTAGCCAAGGAAGCAACCCACCCAGTGGAAAGCATCAAGCAACCGCTACCTCCAAAAACTTCCACTGTTGGCTACAAGGAAGATGTGTTTAAGGGATATAAGCATGTTCCTAACCCACAACTATTAGTATACTTCCAGACGAGGCTTCTACATAGAATACAATTGCACAGCCTCATCTCTGGAATTTTTTTACCAGGTCCAAATGGTTGTATCTTCCATTTGCAGCTCTCTTGTATTTTCCCATCCCTTTTTAACTACTTTTTTTTTCTTATTTGGGGGGGATGTTTGCAGGAAATATGGAATAGCTGCACAGTGTGTGTACTTTGTGTGTTTTTCTTTCCTTAGAAGAAGAAACCCTCTGTCTCGAAACTCACTTATGGCATACATTGCTTTGGAAATTACAACAAATTTATATGACAAGACAGTATCATCCTTATGCAGTTCTAGACCCCAGATTAAGGGCATACCCCAGTGATACATACCAAGTGGCAGCTCACTCTCCTAACCACCACACCGTAACAGCTCTAAAAACCATCATTCAAAAGATCACTTTTCTTCTGATGAGTGTGGCAATTCCTCAACCAGCGCACATCACAAATAGTATCAAGCTTGCCCTTAAAGCAGTGCTAGATGCTCACCTCGAGCCAGATAACCTCCACACTTCCCATGCAATGCTCCCAGTATTCCCAGGAAGCTCTTCTCCCACCCTACCTCCAAAATAGGAGGCCCTGGGAAATTATAGTCGCCTTCCACCTCTGTTATACTTACCACCTCAGCCCCCGGTGTTGTGGGAGGCCAAGTCATGGGGCCCTGAAGCCCCTCTTGCTGCAGGCCCTTGTCCTGAGTGAAGTGGCTGGCCAACTTCATCAGAGGATTGGACCCCCCACATTCTGGCTCCACCAGCTCTCTCATGGCCATGGCAGGCAGCAGGAGAACACGGCACCCACACGACCCTCACCTAACCAGAGGAGAAACAGTGGCAAGATAAGTACAGTCAGAAAGTGATGAGGAACTACCTATGGGGGGCTGCATGATCTGATGCAAGTTTGGGCCTCAGCTACAGGGTTGATTTCCCAAATGCATCCAACAGCCCATGAGAAGCTGAGCTCCAGCATAACCTGACAGTTTCTCTCCATACTGGAAGAAGGCCATACACATCCCTACGGTCACATTGATTCATCCTGATTAACTGCCCCCTGCTCAGGGTTGATTTCCCAAATGCATCCAACAGTCCATGAGAAGCTGAGCTCCAGCACACCTGACAAGTTTCTGTCCATACTGGAAGAAGGCCATACACAACCTGATCCCTATGGTCACATTGATTCATCCTGATAAACAACAAAGCCCCCTGCTAAAAAAAAAAAAACTAAAAACAAAAAAAACAAAAAAAAACCCCACACCTAATAGTAGGTTTAGAGGAGTACCTCTAAAGAAGAAGATGCTGGGGTAACAAGCCCCAAAAGAGACTGCACCACTACAACTGCACCCCTTGAGCCCCTGTATACATAACGTGTGAATGTCCCAAGCACATGCAACCTCCAGATGCGATACTCAAGAGCCGGCCTGCCCACCTCTCCTCATCAGCTCATGGCCAGTGGCGGCAAACGTAGTTTTTCGCCCTCTGCCGGACCTACAGGCTGGGTTTTGGTTCCTCAGCAGGAAGCCAAATGCAACTCTAACCATGCTCGGAAGTGCTCCTTCCATGGCGAGTTTACACGTTCCTGGGCCACTGGGAACAGGCTCCGAGGCTTATCCGCGGGCTCCGGTCACACCCCGAGAAACGCCACGGTCGCCGAGGCTGGGGGGGAGGGAGGGCGATAACCCTTCCAGGAGTGACTCCCCTCCGCCCGGCGCCACGGTCCCCGGGGCTGGACCCCAGGCCGACTCCCACGCCCGCCCGGCAAGGTTGCTTCTCCCACCAGCTCACCAGGCTTTGCAAGGCCTCGCTTCCCGCCGGCTGCCCAGCCTAGGCTTCCCGGCCTCTCTCTCCAGGGACACTCCTCGGCGGGCCTGCGGACCTGGGGGGTCGCGCGCCAGGTGCGCGGGGTGGGGGGTGGTGGCGACCGGAGAGGCTCTCGAGCGCCTGCGCCTTACCCCGCCTTCGCCCTACGCAACGCCTACCTACACGCAGGGCTGCCTGCTTGCCTCGCTCGGGCAACATTCGCCAAAAAAGGCGGGGGGGGGCGGGGCCAGCCGTTAAAGGGCCAGGCGTCCCGAAATGGCCGCAAGGTCTGGCGAGAAACTCGGCGCACTGACGACCCCAAACGAATCCCACTCGCTGCTAACCACTGCGCTTATGATTCGGGGTTGCTTGGGGGAGCACGTCCCCGTTGGACTCAGGGAGACCTCCGTGCGAGGAAACATGCTGGCTGGCAGGCAGCCGAGCCTTCCTTTGCAGACCTGAGAAAGGCGGCTGCCCAGGCAGCGAACAGGTTTGCCTGCGCAGCGAACTAGCGCATGGCTTATGGCTCAAGCAACCCTTCTTTGTGCTGGATTCCCATCCTGTCATTCTCAGCTTGCACAGCCATGGGTCATGCTGACAGGGGATAATGAGAGCTGTAGTCCCAAACAACTGGGGAGGCGGACGTAAGCACGCTTCCTTCAATGCACGCTTCCTTCAAAGTGCCACCGAACTCAATTTAGCCTCCAAATAATAAACTTATATACGCGAAGACAGCAGCCTTTTACAGAGGAAAATAAAGAGGGGCCTGTTACATACTTGTTGGCACCCATTTCGTGCATCACACGGAAGGATTCAGAGCCATCGTGTGTATAGAATGGCCAGCTGGATCTCGCAGGGTGCCAAGCAGCCTGGTGCTGAGCCCTTTTCTTCAAAGGTGAGCATGTCTTACTGAGCATGCTCAGTAAGGCCCAGCACTAGTGAGATGGTGGTGATGTACTGTTGAATTGGTGAGTGTAGGGATGCATTGTGATAACCCATGGGGCTACTTCCCTAAAGGACAGTCCAAAAGTCAGCCAGCTGGGCCTGACTTTATCAACAAATACGAGGCACCGCTTTTGTAAAGGGAAAAACCCTTAATTGCTTGTTGAAGATCAAAACATCTATTTTTGCTTACAAGAGGGATAGTTTGCTACAGTATACTGTTCCTTGGAAAATCCTTTTCTCTCCTAGTTCCTGTGGCGTTGCACTTAAGCCGAGAAGGCTATCGAGGGTGACAGGTGATGTTATAGCCCTTGCTACTCAGAAAATTCTTGGGCTTTGGCCCTGCAAATCTTGGCCCCACTGCTTGACTCCAATAAGTATAAACAGTCCTGTAGCTTTCGTGTTGATGTGCATTATCAGCAAGATGAGGCCTCTTCACCCCATTTATACATACTACAAGCCACACAGAAGAAAGAGCTGGCTTCCGGACTTCTCAGCGGCCAGTCTCAGCTCTTAAGGCATCCATAGCTCCTGTCACCAGGATTTTTATCTCTTTGTGGGTGACACAGCTAATAATATCCCATACGTTGATTTGGAATCTAATGCAGACATTTTTTTTTTACAATGCAGGGTAGCAAAGGATGTGAAAGAATTACATTCCCATTTACAGAGGAATATAGCCAGGGAATATAGCCAGGTTCACTGGTTAAGTGAGGCTACCGACTTCAACAAAATGAGTGGAAAAACAATTATGTCCTCATAACAAAACCAGTAATTTTCTGTCCCCAAAATCCAGTGTCTCTTGTTTTTAAGGCTACAATTCTAAGTACACTCACCTGGGAGAAAGATCAACTGAGCATAATGGGACTTGCTCCTGCATAATTATTATACAGTATTGCGTGAATTAGCTACTCTGGTAGGGCCATTTTTCAGCAGTTCAGGGGTTGCACTCCCAAGAGGAACATGGCCAAAGTGAGAAAGGGTGTGGCCAAAATGGTCAGTTGGCATCTTAATCCTTGTTACTAAATAATGAAAGAGTTGTTTTAATTTCTCAAATAATCAAATAATTTACATATTTGCTTAAATAATATACAAAGCAAGGACTCTTCACTCCAAGGATAGCCATATATAAAGAACACATACTAAATACAAAGTTTTAATTTTTTAAATCATTGCTTTTAATTAATTAAATATGACTCATTTTCTGACATGGGTCACAGAGGAAACTGTCCAACAGCCACTGTCCGGTTCCCCTGAAAGCACAAGCGCTGTGAGCTACATTCCTTACTGGCTCCACCAAAGAGGCAGGTACTCAGCAAAATTCAGCTCATGTTTCCTTTTCCAACTTTTTCCCCACAGTAATTTGCTTGGCAGGCAAATCCATCTTGGTCCACTAGCATTGGCACGGCCACCCAGCGATGTGTGGTGCCACCTTCCTTTCCCTTTCCCAACAAAGATACAAGGCACAAGTGATAGCAAGGTGGAGAGAGAATTCTACTGCAACTGGGTGCGCTTCCAATGCTGACATCTCTAGTCCGGATTTTGCCTTCTCTTTCATGATGCAGTCTGCAGATTTCACAACCCATGCCTCCTCCTCTTCCACTAATATTCTACAGTATAAAGTTTTTCTGACAGATATGGGTTGCTGTTAAACCCAGAATGGAATGCCCAGGAAGTGGAATTCACCAGCCCTTGGTGGACTAAATCTAAGCTGAATTTTAATGCCACCATCTGGCAGAGGTAGGCAACTGCATGGATTTATCACTGTTTTTGTTCCCTTCACCAAGATTACACACATCATGAGCTTACTGGGGAAACATAAGCATTCTGCGCAGTTCAGAGAGGTGCCTTCTTTGAGATCTATAGCATAAATTGGACTTATCCTCCTGTCTTCCCATACATGTTCGCTTGATCCTTTCCTTTCCTTTGTTGTTTAGTCGTTAAGTCGTATCCGACTCTTCGTCACCCCATGGACAAGAGCACGCCAGGCCCTCGTGTCTTTGCCTTTCCTAGTAGTCTACCAAATATGTCTGTGACCTACAAAAGCTCACTGAAGAGATTTATTACTCCTAGGGGAGTCTGAATCCTTTCTTATTTTAATTGTTATTGGTTCTTGGGCAAGGTATTAGAGCATATGGTGACTTTTCAGATCCAGGAAGCCTTGGGTGACACATATTATCCCGGTGCAAAGGCAGTGCTGATAAATGCAGTTTTCTCCTCACCCAAGCAAGAGTCCTGATCAAGAGAGTTCTGATCTCAGCAGAGAATCAATAACTTCTAAGATAGCAGGATGTAATTTTTGCAAGGAATGGCGATAAAATGCAAAATACTATTGCATGACAGTTGTCAAGTTGTGGGGAATATACAAGAATATACATCAAGGCAGCAATTTGTCAGTTTGATAATGATATATGTGACGTCACCATTCCCCATAGTGGTCTGGACTGTAAAGAAATGTAGCCTGGAAACAAGTTCCCCACCTCTGTGCTACACTACGTACTGCCATATGTGAATATTTCTGCATATTCTTCCTCCTTAGTTTTGTTATTGTTTCACCCTCCTTCCTACCATTTTGCCTAAGGAGATCTCCTTAGGCATAGGAGAGATCCAGAGTTCTCAAAAGCTTCCACATTGTTAATCTCCTTTTGACTCACAACACATGAAAGGTATCATATCAATATGGATTTTGGTTCAGTAGAGATCTGTCAGGAAGTGCAGTGGGAGTTGTTTGAATACGTATTTGCACCACTATCCACGCCCCTCCATTGGAGACCTCGTGATCTGTTCTCAACTTTTTGCATCCTGCTCGTTAGCCACTTTCCTCACCCTGTGAGGCTCCTCCTGGTGTATTTTTAAAAATATCTCCTTATTTGTCAAAAGCACCTTTCAGCTTTCCTAAATATGTGGGAGGGAGGCGTTCAAGCAGTCGCTCCTGGCTCTCTTTCTGATACATCTTCGCTGTACAGAGCTGAAATCTGGAGCCGACCAGTTTGCATGAATAACCGACCTGCTCGGCTCTGAAACAAGGTATTAGAGCATATGGTGACTTTTCAGTTCCAGCAAAGTCACTTACAAAATGTTGCCCAGTTATTGCTGATGGGTTTGGGGTTCACTTTTTGTGTTCAGATGACACGACCATTACCAATTCTTTTGCTCTGCCTCTGTGCTATCTCCACACCAAATCCCACCCGCCGGGAAGCTACTCTTATTTTTTGTTTCATTTTTTTGTCACAGAAAATTTTTTTAGTGTCAACATGTGAACAGTTATCCTGAGACATTTCCGGGCAAGCAGCTGTGCATTGTTCCCGCCACTGATGTCTTTCGGCTGCCTGTCTTTCATTTGTTTATAATTTTCCAGGGTGCGCAGCATTAATGTGCTGGTAAATTTTTGTCGTTGTCCACAGCCCTTCCACACATTGATGTAACAGATTTTTTAAAAAGGGGGGGGGAGGGATTTAAAAAAACAGGAAGGGATGTGTTCTGCTACAGAGGTAGCAGTATCTCTTCCTCACATACTGGTACCACATCCTTTTTTAAAAAAAATATTGTGACACTTTAAAAAAAAGTGAGAACGCAAATCGCGGGGTATAGATCACGGGACCTAAACGAGATACTGCTCAAGGAGTAAAAAGGCGCGAGCCATGAGGGAGTGTGAATGCAGCCGTAAACAGGGCCTCCCGCTTCGAGGCCTGCAATTCTACATGGCGGCCAGAGGAGGAGCTCTTCCGTTGCCACCAGCCGGAGGAGGAGGCGGTCTGTGGCTCACCCCGGATAGGCCCGCCCGGCAGCGTGGCCAACCCACGAGGAAGTCCTTGGGGGCCGCGCTCAAGGAGAGGGGCGTCACCTCCAGCACCGGACCCCAAAAGCGCCGGAACTGCAAGCGCCCCAGAAGGCAGGTGGGGCCTTAGCTCGATCCGGAGGAAGCCCCGTCTTGCAACCCGCCGGGAGGGACCAGTTTTACGCGTCAGGGGCCAGCCCTGCTTGCAGGATGCCTCGTCGGAGCACGGCGCTTCACCTCGTGGCCGGCGGGTGAGTCTTGGGCCGGGGCTCGGAGGCGGGGAATGACCGGCAGAACCCGCGGCCCGGACCCTTGGGAGAGGAGAGAAGCCCCGCATCTGTCCAGCGGGACTCGCTGCGAGGCAGAGGGCGGCGACGGGCGGGCGTCTGGCCGGGCCTGATTGTACGAGGGTGCATGACTGCAGTCGGTAAAAAAAGTTGCAGGCTGCAACTTGCACGCCCGGGGAATGGCGCCTTTCTGAGAGAGAGAGCGAGCGAGCGCGAGCAACGGGCAGCCAAGTTGAGAGAGAGAGAGAGAGAGAGCGAGCAACGGGCAGCCAAGTCAAGGCGCTGCAAGCTAAGAGCTCGGATGATTGTGGGATTTCACCTTGCGGGGCTGGTGGGTCGCTGGTTCTAAAGTTGCTTGTAAAAATGTTGGATTTTTTTAAAAAAAGTTCTTGGACGTCAGTTCAGCATCGGTTGCTCTGCAGCGAAATACTTTGACAAATAATTAATTTTAATCCTCAGACCGTCTGTCAGTCTAGACGTTGCATTTATTGTAGCCAGTTTCAAGCATTTCGCATATGTCACCCCCAGTAATCCTTGCAGCAGTCTTCCGAAACTGTTTGCCAGTGTCACTTGACTAAAACCACCTGGTTGTATAGGATAAAATCCTAAACACGGTTGCTTAGAAATTAATGTGTTGAGGTTTTTTTGCTGGGGCACACATACTTGGGTAAAGGGCATAGCAGGGGTGGCTTGGGGGGGGGAGCGCTCTGGAGAGCCTCACTGCAAAATTTCAAAGGTGGGGGCTGTCCTGATCATGAAGGGACTGTGGAGTATAGGATTGCGCCCTTAATTTGTCCTTGAGATGAGCCACCCTCACAGCCAATACTTTATCTATGTTTGTGCAGCACAAGATCTTTTCATGATGTCATTGCATGCAGAATATGTTGTATCAGATACATTTGAAACCTAGAGGAAGCACCTTAGGGAGAAAAAAATCCAAAACAAAAAATGGGAAAAGAGTTAAGCAGTCACACCCCATGCCATATCCCTGTTGGCCCCTCACAAACAGATTAACAGAGTACTGTTGCTGGCCTATGATTTGCCTTTGTGTGTGTTTTGGTTCTCA